AAAAGGCCCCGACTGGGGACTCCGTTGTTCTACTGGGGGACTTCAACGCCCACGTGGGCAGCGACAGTGACGCCTGGAGATGCGTGATTGAGAGGAACGGCCCCCCCGACAGCCCACAGAGGCTTTATGAAAATGTAAGTGTAGCCCCAGAGAGGCAAAGACAAAGAAACAGAGAGATAAAAGAGCTGTGACCATCCACTCTATTCCCACTGGCTTCTCTCCTCCATCAACCTGGCAATGCCAAGGAAATACAGTTCATTATCATTGATCACACTAGACTCCACACTCCCACATGTACTCTAAGGAGGTTACACACATATATACTCAGCAAAGCACCCGCCTAACAAGGTAACCTAAATTGATGTCTGTAGCCTCAGTGCCTGGTAAAATTAAAATCATCTAAGTCTTGTCAAGAACGGCTTTCATATATGCCGAGTTACCAGGTTTTGATACAAGCCCTCTGGAACTGGCAAGACAAAAGAGGATTATGCAGTAGCAGTAACTCTCACGCCCATAGCGGACAACGTTTTATTGCCATGCAATTTACCCTAGCTGCAGTAATTACTCTAAATTGCAGTTCTGTGGTGCAGTAATATCAAAGCTTTGGACCAAGACCTTGTGTGTGTGTGTGTGTGTGGGTGTGTGTGTATCAGCACACATGTTCATGTAGATGGGTGAGGTGGGAAAGGCAGAATGTTGATAGACATCCGGCATCACTAGGATCATGAATATTCAACAGGGAATTTGAATGTTAGTGCAAATGAGTTCGCAGTGAACGCAAGAAAAAGGTATTCTACTTCCTTTGTAATGAGTGGGACATGACACGATGCCTGCCGAGGGATAATGTGGCACCTTTAGAGATAACACTCTTCAGGATGAGGTGCTCAGTTTCGGCGCTAAAACTTTCTTGGAAGCACTTTGGTTGAACCCAGAGTTCCTCTCTGAATCCTACTCTACAAAGTTAGCATAATCTCTAGCTATGTCATCAAAAAGTAGAAGAA